GAATAATATCTTTTTAAAGTCAATTACAAATTATTTTATTTTTCTGCAGTGAGACCAGGCAATTTCCAAGTTTAAGACAGGTGCACTTACAGTATTGGGATAAACTCTCCTCTCAGCAAGTGTTTAGCTGCCATTAATAAGTTCTATGTATATGCACCAAAAGGACACAGTAGCCAATTACCTGGAGTTACGGGAGAATCTGTTTTCAGTTCTGAACCAGTGAGCTTTAATTTGGCAAAAATGCATATAAACAGAATGGCTACTCAAAGCCAGGCTGAACAAAGCAGTAGGAAAGGGTTTGTAGTAAAAGGCTTGTAAGACCCAGTACTCTATACCTATAGGAATCTGTATCAGCCAACACTTGAAAGTATCTCTTGATAGTCATGATGCCTGAGAATTTGCACATATCGCTCCCACCCCTTCTGACAGAGCCTGAAACAAATTGCACATGGGTTTGTATGCGCAGAAATCAGCGGATCACCATTTGATCAATGTATTTTATGCTCTTCCAATTTCCTCAATTCTCTTTAAACAGGTTGGAGACCTGCATTCAGATATTATAACATGTGGGTGTCACTTTTTGGAGCCCTGTTGTGCTGTGGTGTCATGTTTGTCATCAACTGGTGGGCAGCTCTCATCACTTATGCCATTGAGCTCTTTCTATATATTTATGTAACATATAAGAAACCAGGTAAGGCCACAAAACACTATTATTTTGTGTATATGTTATGCAGCCAGACTGGATTTTACAGGAATTAATTCTGCTTACAGAATTAGACATTACTTTTTCTCCAATACCTTTCTTTAGAGGGAAGTCGGGAGCATCCCATTAAATCCCACTTTATATAATACAGATTAAGATGATAGCCTGGTGAATTTTTGCCTGTTTAACAAGCACTTCAAGTATGGTTCAAGGCTTTGTGTAAACATTCCAGCACACCAGTTTATTCCCACCACGTCTTTACTACATTTGGGCTTTTACTTGAGCATCACTTGTAATTTTTTTCCATCCACACACAAAGCCTTACCTGGATTTTGTTGTGCTCTTACCTGACTCATCCGGGGTCCTCACTCAAAATGTAAACCTGCTGCCCACTATAGAACAAAAATGCGAGCTGAATTACTCACGAACTGATCATCCTCCAGCACCTCCCTACAGTTCCTCAGTAAATCAAGAAAGATGGGCACACTTTACTGCTGGAAAAAACTGCTTAGTAGCTCAGCAAATCACAGGAGCTGTCCTCAGAAATCTGTGCGCTAATACAATACAGCACCAGTATGAGACTGCACAGTCTGGTTATTCGTATCCAGGACAAAACTAACCCCGGTTCAGATCTCATTGCTAACCATCTGAATTGCTTCTGCAGTAGGAAAAGAATGATACAAATAAAAGAGGCAAGTTTCCCAGCAGAAGATGTGCTTCCATTGCAGCTAGCTTGGGATAGCAACACCTGGCCTGAGCCTGTGTTATTCTTTTCTGTGTATATTGCTGCACTGTTGTGTGTCCTCCCTATCTGTGCTCTCATACCCACTGGGATGGTCTGTGGTTCTCTTCCTGTAAATATCATCAGCCGTAGGAGAACGCACCTCTCACAAGACAGTTGGCAAAAGCATTTGAGGATTTCTACCCTTTCCTGGTATATTGCCAGTGTCCTTGCTGCAGAGCAGCAGCTTAAAGCTTGGTTAAATTCACTGAGGACACTGTACAAAAGCTATCTATCTCCTGCTCTCTAAGAGAGTGACTTTTGTCCAGCACTTATTTACCAGCAACTGAAGGGTTCAGAAAAGACTAATATTCCTTAGAAAAGAAGACCTCTACACAAATCTCCACTTAGTTGCGCTAAATATTAGCTTTATACCTTGGCATAACGGGACTTGATCTGCATTCATGTAGATCTCAAAGTGTGGAAAGCTGTTTCTCATCTGTCTCCATGCACCAAACAGCTGCACAATAACGAGAAAAGATATATATGCCAAAATTGGTTTTGGAGAACAATTTTTGACCTATATAGTAGAAGAGAACTAATTGGAGCTAGCAATGTTCCTTCCTAATGGTTTAATTTGAACATCCTGAAATTCCACACCAAACACATGACTCAGGGCTGTCCCTTTTATACATGGGAGAAGGATACAAAGTTAATGGAACAGAGAAGAAAACAGTTTTTAAGCAGAGGAGGAACATTCCCTACAATTTTTATATAAAGAATGAGATGATTTATTTGCATGTTTGTTTTTGCATCACACAAGCAAAACCTATTCTATTATGAAGCACAAAGAATGATAGCTCTGTATCTATGAAGCACGACAGAATATACCCTGCTTTGGCTCACAGATAACATGATTGCTGACCTTTGCAACAGAACACAGGGAAAAGCCCATGGTTTAATATGCATTATTTATCTTTCTTATACGCAGAAGTAAATTGGGGCTCTTCTACACAGGCTCTTTACTATATTAACGCCTTAGACAGCGCTCTGGCATTAACTACAGTGGAAGATCATGTGAAAAACTTCAGGTAAGATTTCCAGTGAACAGTAGAATGGCTTATTCTGAATAAGTACATCACCCAATTAACAACCACCTCTTTTTTCCTCCTGACAGACCCCAATGCATAGCGTTAACAGGAGCTCCTATGATCAGGCCTGCTCTGCTAGACATCACACATACTTTCACAAAGAACAACGGGCTGTGCATCTGTTGTGAAGTGTACACGGTAAGGTCAACTCATATAAATCTGAAAATTCAGCACCAGTGGGTGCTGCAGATCTCCATTACACATTTCACTCTCACTCGGCACACAATGTTCCCATTGGTGCTGATGGGCGTCTGTGCAGACCATGAAAGGGGTTCGCACCGAGAATGAATCTTGTCGTAAGTCTTGACAAGAAAGCTATCGGCTGATACAGAGCCTGCTGGTAAATGCCTCATTGAGATGCATTTCAGGGTTCATAGTAGACGGACCATAAAATGGTTGGAAAAAATAAAGCATTACAAGCAAAGATTTTTCTTTTTTTTTTTTTTAAATGGACACAGCAAGGCTTAAAAACAAACAAACAAACAAACAAACCACCCCAATTAAAAAAAACCACCAAACCCGAAGGATTATAGTGCAAGAGCCAAATTACCTAGGCTCTATTTTCAGCTTTGCCACTGATTTGCAGTGTTGGGGTTTGGCAAGTAATTCAGCTCTCTTTGCAGTGGTTTCTCCAAAACTGTAACAGTGTTAATTTTGAGGATAAACATGCTCTTCTGAGATCTAAAGAGAGGAGCAAAGTGTATTTCTAGTTATAAATACACAGGAAATGATGTACCTTAAAGGATGAAGATCTAGTCTCTCATCAGGACAGAACAAAAATAGATGGGTTTGTAGTGTAGAGGAGAAAATGTATTTTAAATATTACAACAACCTTTTAATTTTGAGAGGGGAAAAAAAACAGCTCATGGGACCAAATGGGGCTGCAGAATCTAACTAATCGAGTCAGTCCAGGCAAGATAATGTATTCCTCTACAGGAGCATAGGAATAATTCATTTGATGCTGCCACATTGCACAAAGGGAGTACAGAAGATCTACGTGTGATTCTTCGCAAATCAAACGAATCTATAAAGAGTGAATGGTCCTAATTCTTCTCTACTGTAATTATTGTTAGCTTTCCCACTGCATTCAGTAAGCGTAGAATCAATCCCAGCAAGATCCTGAGACTATGCATCTTCCTAAAGTTGAGTTTCAGCAAGTTTTCTGAATTCTTAGGCATGTCTCTCTAATATTAGTACTTTCTATGGAGAACTGAGATTTCATTCCTGTCTATGCAAAAAACTAAGTCTATTTTGCTAGTATAAGCATTTTCATTGTTTTTTTAAATTATTATTTCTTCAGCAACTTAAGCTAAATTTAATTTGGTTGGTAATAAAAGTGTGACACAATGAACCTCTGTGATTTGCAAAATTGCGGTAAAAAGCGGATGATAAAATTCCTAGGGACCATACTGAAGAGTAGCCTACAATATATATCATAACAAATACAGCAAGACTATTTAGCCATAAATGTAAGGCCCAGCATATTTTGCCTCAAAAGCTGACATGCTGCTAGCTATGCATAAAGTTTTGAGACACCATGCCAGACAGAACGTCTTCCATTCCTTTTTCCCAAAGGGCAGCAAGAAACTTCCCAGGAGCATGGTGACAGATAGTTCAGAGATAGGTAAAATAAATATGGCAACTGAACATAAAGATGATTTAAAAGTTACTTGTGCCTGAGGTTGTGGCTGCACGTTGGCTTGAACAGCCTGAGTTTCTAGTAAAAAGAGCTACTCTGCTTTTACTCCCTGCCTTCACGTAAAATATTTTTGCAAGGTTAGTCTTCATTCAGTCTGCAAATTCACTGGTCTCCTTGTACAATTGCACAAACATTAACACTGATACAAAGGAGGAGTAGGGAAGGACACAGATGGACTGTCATCTGATAGAAGGGTGGGACTGTCCCCTTGGCCAGCAGAAACATATTGTGCAAGCCAGTTGTGAAACTATCCTCAGGTACTCTCCTTAGAGAGACTGGGAAGAAGGGTAAGGCTTTTTTTTTTCTCCCCTCCTTACCCACAAGGGAACTTCAACCTTATTGTTCAACTTCTTATTCCCAGCTCTTCACGCTACTCTTCCAACAGCCAGGATCAAGCTCTTCTTACGTTACACCCATTAAATCCAAACAAACTCCAGTAAAGTTACTATCACCAAAGAATGTAGCATGATCTCATTAAAGGATGATCACATGGACTCTCCCGTCCTTTCCCTTGTACTTCTCAAATAGCCATGAGGAGTTCAGAAACATACATGAGGGACAACACCTGAGCGAGCATCAATCCAGCCTACCTTTGATATTTTTTTTTTTATATATATATATCTATATATATTAAAAATTCTAATGAAAAAGGCACAGATAAAAAACACGACATATGAAATCTGCCAGGTCATTTCACAGCTTCTTTCTCAATGCTATTTTCTGTTTTTTAGATGGAACTAGCTGGGAAGTTTATTTTGAAGGCCTTGCCTACTTTTCTAGCAGCCAATGCCAATTCACTGAAAGTAAATGTATTGCAGTTATTTCTACATCTATATAAATGTATAGTACGTCCCATTTTCTTCCAGGAAGGCAAAAAAATTGTTTCAGTAAGGCTGAAAAGTTTTGAAAGAAGGACGCTTTGGGTTTACATTCAAAATCACCTTTAAGAAACTGATTTTTAATTAAGTGATCCTTCCCATACATTTCATTTTGGAGAGAATGTCTTTCAGTTTGGGTTTTACACTGTTCCTGAATGGGAGATAAATTTTGAGCTTACAGTATTTGCTATGGACAAAAAAAATATCTAAATGTCCCTCAGCCCTATTTTAACCAGTTTCCCAGCTTAGCGAAAGCAGCTACCATATACTAGCTTATTTTAAATGTGAAAGATTTAAATATGAATTTTGAAATACAATCTCCTGAGCATGAGTTTACCAAGCCTTCCTAGTTTTATATTATAGGAAACTTCTACCGATTTCTCTAGTTATCTGTTCGTTGGAACCAAAATTGGAACTTGCTAGCATCCCCAAAAACATTAGAGATTTTAAAAAGTGCAAAGGAATGAGTTCTGCACAAAATGAAACTCTGCAGCAAACTAAAGTTCAAAACTATCTGTTTATAAAAAGCCAAACTGGTACCACTTCTCGAGTTAGGCACACAGAAATACTCACTGGATTCCAAGTGCTTCCAAGCCAGCTCCATCTTTCTGGTGCATCTAATTACTGCTTCTGTCTCTGACAGTGCTGGAGAAGCTCCCACAGTTTACAATTCTGCTCTTCTATTGTGCCTTGGAAAGCAAAGACGACCTGTCCAGCCCAGTTACAGTAAAACCAGTATCTGAGACTCTTGAGTGCCTCTCTCAGAGTTTCATCTTCACTGCAGAAGATCTGGACTACTGATTCAGCTTCCTAAAGACAAAATGAAAGGGAATAGACAAAGCCTAGCAAACCTTAAACTCAAACTTAAGAGCACAGATTTTTTTAAATCAATTAAATTCCAGATACACGCTTCCCAAACTTACCTCAATCTTTCTAAAGGCCATGCTTGCAGACTTGATGTCTTCCCTGAGCCTAATCTTTTGGGGACCCACTGCCAGCCCATTCTCTGCTGCCAAGTCAGTGTATCATGTCTTGTGACTTGGATACGCACACGGATTTTGTCTCATCAAATTAGCAGATGACCACTGGAAGAACCTGGTGACAAAGGCATTTGCACCTTTAATTGTATGGCAACAACCCTTTTCTCTCACTATGAGTAGACAGGAGCTTAACCACGTGTATTTAGACCTGCTGAGACTTGTTTATGTAGTCAAGTCAGGGAGGGACTTTATTCACTCTGAGCTGCTTTATCATACCTTAGATATGTTTCCAAGATGTTACAATCCATAGTAGTCCTTCTTTCTGTCAGAATCACTATATTTAAGTAGCATTAACAGCCTCAGCCCTCTCGAACAGAATGTGAATTATGTTAGCAGCACAGTTCTTTTCAAAGGGCTGAATCTCTGTGGACTCTTGTTGGAAATGTATTTTTCTGACTCTCTCCATTTGCTCCCACAGCAGACTAGGTAACTCCTTCAAAATCACTGTGTGATGTATAATACAAAGCCTTCTTAATAATGTTTTATTGTATCATGCAGGGACCACGCAAGCTGTGTGTTAAGGAGATGAACAGTGGCATGGCAAAAAAGCAGGCCTGGCTCACAAAGAACAAAAGAAAAGCCTTTTATGCAGCAGTGGCAGCTGACAGCTTCAGAGATGGAGTCAAAAGTCTACTTCAAGTAAGCTTTTTGTTTACAGAACACATAGAAGAGTGTTACATCAAAGCATCCCTTTATGGAAAGCATTACTGTTTACTTGTTAAGAAGTCCTATGTATATATGGATAATGTTATAAACAGAAAGGGCGTTCTGGGGGTACATGTATTTATATTACAGGTTATTTCATAAAGAGATCTAGTTCTGGGCCATGGAATGATGAGACAAAGCAGACTGCTTCTCTCATAAATGAACAAGACACTATTATAAAAAGAGAGAGGCATCTACAGGGCAACATATGAATGTCTGTGCAGCCAACACTCGATACACTTCAATGCTATTGTTTGGTATTTACGCAGTGTATTAAGTATCTGAGAATATTTTTGCATTCGTTGAAAACTGAAAATGTGTAATATACATTTTCTGCAAACAGAGAGAAGGCCATCTAAATAAAAGAGTCTGCAATATTTTTCTATTACTCTAAGAATAGAGCAGATCATTTCCAACAGTCCATTTAAAATGGCCTTAATGAAGGCACAGAGGCACTGTTTTCATATTTCCCATCTCCCTCCCCCCCCCCCATGAATATTTAAACATACAGGTACTGAGGCAAAATGTAGAAAAAAATTCCCATCCTTTGCACAAAATACACTGCTGAAAAGACACCAGTGCAAACTGAGACAGTAGGAATTGACTAAAATACTCTGGGTAACAGTCACCCACTGGCAGCCTACCAGTGCTCCTCGTACGCTTGCTGAATGGACAGTACAATGGAGCAAGATGAAATATTATTAATAAAGATCCCTTTGTTCTATCAAAGCCTCACAAGGACACTTCATCTTGGGTTTATACGTTGGCTCGGTAGGAGATCCGTCTGATGTTTTTGAGAACTGTTACAGTCTGATGACCTTTGCCTTTCCATTCCTACTTAAACACTACTGCCAAAGTCAACTACTGGACCACAAATAATTCCCTTCCAGCAAACAGAAGGATAACCATATCATCATTATTGTAACCTAAGGACATCTGCATTGCTTTGCCAACCAATTATTCATTTCAATGTAAACACTGCAGATGTATCAGTGCTACTCAAAATACCCCACCAAGGTTCCAACAGTTTTTATCTATTTTCTTTTTGCTAGTAGTAAAAATTGGGAGGTGTAACAGCTTGACAAGCTGGTGTATTTGTGGGTCTCCTCCTGAACCTTCCCAAGACACCGAATATTCAGATTTCTATAAAAATCATGTTAGCTGAATCTAGATCTGACAACCCTTACTTGTTCAGGTTTTAGCATCCAGACACAGTTTTGCAGGCAATCTAATATCTTGACAAACCATTTGCTCTTCCTGTTTATAAACTGTAATTTTATCTATAAAGCACGCTCAGCTAATTTTGGATAATCTTTTGGAAAGAATGCAGCAAACAGAACGGCAACAGTTCCTAAGTTCACGGGAAAAAAAATTATTCTTAAGAGGGTATGCCTCCTCTGCATATCTGAGGTGTTTTAAGAGACTTTAGACCCAGTTCATCTATTGAGTATTCCAAATCTGATAAAAGCTTTATGCTATTATGTTAGAATGAGCATACAAACAGTGCTTGAACTCTCTTGATTCCAAGTTATTGAACCATTTTAATGAGAGCATGTCAGAAGAAATGCAAATGAATGCTAATTTAGCAAAACTACATTTCTGTCATCTAAAATCATTTATAGTTGGAATGATTTAGAGCTAATCTTTCTGCTTTCTGCATGGGTATGAGCATGAAGGACATTCATGAAATGCAATCTAGTTGTAAGTGTCTCCAGAACATTACTTCAGTTATCTTTTGCCATTACTTTTCATTTACAGTAAAAGCATGTGTGTGTACCTTCTCAAGCAGTGTTTTAATATTGTTAGGCCTCAGGCTTGGGTAGAATGAAACCAAATACCTTGGTGATTGGATTTAAGAAGGACTGGAGAAATGCCACTGCCACGCAAGTTGAAAACTATGTGGGCATTATACAGTAAGTCACCGTTCAGCATCTCCTTTTTTACTCCTCTTAGACTAGATTAATATAGCATTTCCATACAGAGTCTGACGTGTAGAAACAATGTAAGAAAACGCCTACAGATCTGGGTTCACACATGCTAGCTCTGTAACAGAAGTTTCTGCCCATTAAAAAAAGGCTCCTTGGCTTCACACACCTAGCAAGATCTGCTTAGCAAACATCTGGCGCTGTCAGAGCTGATGTGGCTTGACAATGCTACATAAAGAAGCCGCACTGCTGTCAGCAGTGCTTTTGCAGAACTGTATTTTCCCATTTTTAGTGGGCAGGAGCTCAGAGAAAAACAACCCTTAGGGAATAAAAGAACATCATGGAATTCTTCTTTTAAGCCTAGGAGACAGAGGAAGAGCCTTGCTTCAAATCTCATGTGTGCCTAAGGCTCAGCAGCTCTGTGGGTTGGGATTTAGCCAGGAAACAGTCATTTAGAAACAGGCTTCCCAGATTCTTGCTCAAAATTCACTTGTAAAGCTTAAGCGAGTTAAAGAACAACAAAACCCACCCCAGCTTTGTTACTTCCTCAGAGAAGGGAGAAAAAAAAAAATTACCCAATGGCAACCTAGTTCCTAAAAAGTGTTGTCAGAAAGACCCATTTCAGAAATAACCTATGTGTTCCCATGCCCAATGATACCCTTTTTTTAAATGAGGGAAGAAATTTGACAGTACTTTACTTAATCTTGGGCAATTCCTTCTGCAATTTTACCTAAAGCAGCCTAGTACATGGCAGTAACACCTCCCTGTGAGCACTAACAACTCTACTGATCTGCCCAAAGTAGCTTTTCTCATTGACATACGTGATGTGAAAGGATATTTATTCTTCTTTTTCTTTCTTTTCAGTGATGCCTTTGATTTTGAGCTCGGCATGATTATCGTCAGAATTAGCCAAGGATTTGATATATCTCAGGTCCTCCAGGTTCAAGGTATGTGGTGAATCAGTAGCTGAATATCTATGCTGGTTACATGCTCAGCACAAGAAGGAATCTGACCGATACTCTTAGAGTCGCCATCTGGTTTCTAGAATAGTTCCTACACCCGTAACTTCTATAGTTCCTCCTTGCTTCTGCAGTTTCAATCCTGCCCGAAATCCTTGCTGAAGCACGGGCAGTGACAGAAGGAGGCCAAGCCTCACACATTAAGGGGCTCCGCACACCAGAGAACTCAACTCCCAAAGCGCTTCCAGCACAGGCACAGACTAAAGCAGTAAAATCATGCTGTGCCACAGCAACCGGTCACTCTGCGGCATGTTTCCTTCCTGCTCTTGGCACATCTTCCTCCCTCTGCCTACCTGAGATCTCTGGGACTGGCGGGAATCAGGGAGCTGCACTTTTGGTACCGCCTCTGTGGAACGCTGGACCCAGAAAGTTCCCACCCATGCAAAAACCTGGAACCCACAGGAAACATCAGTTCTCATTTTCACCTTTTTGTCCATTCTTCCTTAGGTTAGCGGTGCACATCTCAGGGGGAAAGGGAAAACCTTCCACCATACCACACCATTCAGGGAGACATGCCATCTGGGTGGAAAAGGTAGAGGGAGACAGAGCATGCAGGCAGCTGCACCCAAACGAAGGGCTTCCAAGAGCCACATACAATGGTGGCCTTCATTTTTCCTCTTCATCTTTAGGACACGGGGGTCTTACCGGTTCCTCAGTTACCCTGAGGAGGGAATGACTCCATATAAAAACCCCATCAGAACAATTCTCTAGGTTTTCAGTATGATAATTTCCCCACTTCTCGTAAGTTTGTCCACTTGCGCAGACAGATACAGCCTAAACCTGGACATTACTCCTAGCCTCCCTTGTCCTCCCCACCAGAGAAATCTTTTGTGTTATAAATGAATTAGATAAAATCTGTAGAGAAGGAACACAGGCAGGCATAAGAAGAATGGCGACGCTTTGCTGCCGCCTGCTGTAAATCTGCCTCCAGCTTCTCCCCAGTTTCCCAGAGACACACAGACCGCGGTCAGGACTGCTGGGGAGAACACCCGGAAAGGACATAAGTACCTCAGCTAATTAAAATAAAAATGAACTCCCCATTAAAGAGGATGTATTCTAGGATGAGGCGACCCTCAAAAGCAAATCACCTCTCGGAATTAAAAGGTGCCAGAGACTCCTTTAAGAAACAGGGGAAGATGAATATTCACCCAGCAGACTCTCTGGCAGCTTGATGTGTGTGGAGAGCTACAGGGCAAAACTACGGGGACTTAAGAAAAAATTCCAAACTAATCATGCTTTTTTCCTCCCCCTTGCTGATACCTCAGAGAGATCTGCCCGTCTCTTTGCTTGCTGTAAGTCAAAAACTGACTGCTCAGAAGACAGTCATTAGAACACCAGTGAAGTTACAGCAAATACCAACTTTGCATTCTTACAAACTAGCAAATGTTCTCTAGGGGAGGGTGAGGGGGGTGGGGAGGAAGGAAAATCCTCAAATATGCAGAAGTGTTTAGAAGCAAAGTCTCTGTAGTGGGGAAAAAAAGAGATCACTATTCTATTATACTTGCTACAGCATTCTGTTTAATAGAGAAACTGAAATTTTAGTTTTGAGTAACCATCAAGTTAGTGTCTATCATCATGTCTAATAATCAGAAGACATGGCTGTCATGGATTCTAAAGTAAAAGAAATATTCTTTTCTGTTGGCAATTAAGAGTGCCAACGGAGCTAATAATGTCTAGCTAGTGAGGGTTTGGGTTTGTTTGGTTTTTTTAAACACAATGTCTTAAATGAATTTACCTCGCTCTTAGTCCATGTATTACTCAAATAGAAGTTTTCCTTATGAAAAAGCTTTCTGCAGGCAAATGCCTGTATCATATTAATTAGTGCCTCACCATATTCCACAATAACACAGCAGTGTGCCCAGGTGGCCAAGAAGGCCAATGGCATGCTGGCCTGTATCAGCAATAGTGTGGCCAGCAGGACCAGGGAAGCGATCGCCCCCCCTGTACTCGGCACTGGTGAGGCCGCACCTCGAATACTGTGTTCAGTTTTGGGCCCCTCACTACAAGAAGGACGTCGAGGGGCTGGAGCGTGTCCAGAGAAGGGCAACGAGGCTGGTGAGGGGTCTGGAGAACAAGTCTTATGAGGAGCGGCTGAGGGAGCTGGGGTTGTTTAGCCTGGAGAAAAGGAGGCTGAGGGGAGACCTCATCGCTCTCTACAACTACCTGAAAGGAGGCTGTAGCGAGGTGGGGGTCGGTCTCTTCTCCCAAGTAACTGGCGAAAGGACGAGAGGAAATGGCCTCAAGTTGCACCAGGGGAGGTTTAGATTGGATGTGAGGAAAAATTTCTTTACTGAACGAGTGGTTAAACGTTGGAACGGGCTGCCCAGGGAAGTGGTTGAGTCACCATCCCTGGAGGTATTTAGATTGGATATTAGGAAACATTTCTTCACCGAAAGGCTTGTCAAGCATTGGAACAGGCTGCCCAGGGAAGCAGTGGAGTCACCATCCCTGGAGGTATTGAAAAGATGTGTAGACGTGGTGGTGCTTAGGGACATGGTTTAGTGGTGGACTTGGCAGTGCTGGGTTAACGGTTGGACTTGATGATTTTAAAGGTCTTTTCCAACCTAAACGATTCTATGATTCTAACACATGGCACCTTTTTCTAAGCAAAAGTCTAATATTGCTAAGATGAAATTGTTCTTTTATATTACTGAATTTACAGAATCGGTTAGCTAAATCTTACATCTTTGCAGTGAATACTGAAAAATCAAAACATTAAAAATACTTCAGCATAGAAACTGATCGCATATTCAGGATCTTTATGTATTTCTGCGAATCCCAAAGTCCAAAGCCATGTGACCTTGTTCTTAGAATAGGGACCCAAGGGCTAGAACTCAATACATCGGCTTTCTAACTTTAAGAAAACAGCTTTCCTAATGCGTTTTCAAATTCTTGGGGAAAGAAACCAACCAAACAAATCCACAAACATAACTCAATAAATAGTATCTCAAGTAATAATACAATAAATAATACTATAAAATACAGTAATACTAATTTCATCTGGAAGAGGAAATCTGAGAGCAGCTGAGTAGCACCTTAGTACACACCACTGCTGTAGGCGTGGGCACCCTAACTTAGGGTGTCCAGAGATGACTTCAGCTTCTTCCTCCCTATTGGTTTGCAAGGAAAAAGCATTTTAAAAGAGTTTTTCCTCCCAGCAGCTTTACATTGCGTACAAAGTACCACAACAGAAATTACATCACCGCCATTATTTCACTAAGTGATTTAATTTAAAATAGAAAGCGATGTGTTACCAGTTCCCTTACTTTTCCCAATATACAGAGGAATTAGAGAAGCTGGAGCAGGAGAGATTGGCACTGGAAGCTACTATTAAAGAAAATGATTTTGAAGAAGGAAAAAGTGGCATCTGTGGATTCCTCAGAAAAGCCGGCACGCTCAATATCTCAAAACATGAAACAAAAAAGGGTAAGTTCCAAAATGACAACTTCTCCCCAACCCTTCAGTGCATCACTTTTTCACCAATATGCAAACTGGACTTTGACTCCAAGGCCAAAACTCCTGAAGCGCACAGAAGCCCCTGGAACAGGACCTACCCTGTGCAAACCTGCCTTGGTGGCCACAACCTTGTAATGCAGCATAGAGTGAGTGTCCTCTGCTGATAGGACACGCTACCTCGTACAATACAAGTATTTTCCCCCCCCTCATTTGCTAGATGAGCTTCTCAGCTCAGCTTACGTTGAATTCTATTTGTCAAACATAGCACATGGTTATTAAAGTTTGAGGAATACAGAACAAGTTGGTTTTTGTTTTGTTGGGTTTTTTTAATAGGGAGTTTTCAGTTTTTTAACAGAGACCTTTTCTTCTCCTCTTTAAAGAAAACAGGAACATATGCACAATATTCAGGGAACAAGCAATCTCACTTTACTCAGTACACACACACACACCCCCAGTTCCCAGCTGGAAAACAGGTAAAATAGCACTACTGCTGTATATTCTAAGCATAATTTCATAAAAATGCACAAATGAAGGTGGTAAAAGTACTGACAGTACATATACAGCATGCTGTCAAATAACTAATTAACACATAACTTAAATGTGTAGGTGATGAAATCAAAATTACATTTCAGATATAGCAAAATGATACAGAAATACAGACAGAATCAAAGGTCTCATTTCACAATTGCTAGGCTGTAATGGTAATGACCAACCTGAAGCCATGCTTGTATGCAGACAAGTATTTTCAGAATTTTCACCTGCAGAGACTATTACATCTGGCTGTGCACGCAACTCCCACAGGTATCAGGAAGATCTACAGACTGAAAACATAACGTGTCATTATTCTTTACTTGGCAGACTTCAGTTCATTTTGCAGGCTTCAGAAGAAGATATTTTTATAACAAATACCACAAGAATGTGCACCCCTGTTTCAACTACCCTTCGCGATTTAGTTCAGAAAGGCATAAAGGAAATACATATTACACACTTAGGCTCTATAGATGAGATAGATGGTGTTAATAAATATCTTTGGCTCTATATATGAGATAGATGATGTTAATAAATATCCCTGCCTCTCCGTTTTGCTTATACATTCATCCTCCCCAGAGCTGTTGCATCTTCCAGCATAGATGCTAGAACTGTAGAGGAAAGCCAATAACTGCTTTAGAACTATCCTCTCCACACTCTAGAAGTACAGGAAAACCAAACAAAGCATTTTCAGAACCTAGAAGATCAGAGTAAAACCTCTAAAGAAGCCTGTCTGCTCCATTTAAAATACTGCTCTGACACAGTCTCTTTGAAATCATTGAAAGAGAAGCAGTAATAAAGCCACAGGTTTCAAAAGATGGAGTGAGAGAAGATATTGTGAGTACACAGGCAAGACTGTACCTTTTAAAGCCAGCCAAGCAAACAGCAAGAATCAAAGTTTATTTTCAATTAACAACGACCCTCTCAAGCATAGGGAAGTTGCCATATATGCTTATGTTTTCTGCCTTCCAGTCTTAGCTTCACCTGTGCTCTCGCTATACCCTGTTAGCTCTCTTTGTCCACCATTACTGTGCATTTCAGGGAGCTCTGTATCTTACAACAGGCAGCTGAGCTTGTACGTGATGCAAAACGATGCCATTTACTTCTAAAATCTGTCAGATATTTCCCAATTGCTTTTTAAGGCCCTAGTGAATTTTAGGGTAACTAAAAAGATCCAGAGAACAAATAATCAGATAACCCTTTTCAAGATGTTATAATCTAGTGACAAAGTATTACAGAAGCTTTGGCTCCTGTGCGTATTGGTATATTAAAAGTCCTGCACTGTAAATTTTTTCAGATTTAAAGTATAGAAAATATGTCAGAAACAGTTCATTTCCCTGAAGTTTTCTCTCCACTTGGCTCCCTAAAGCTACTTGTTGCCTCACTCGTCAGAAATCCCTCCACATCTTTTCTTTCTCATTACAGAGAGCACCATTAACACAATACAGTCAATGCACGTGGGTGAATTCAATCAGAAGCTGCTAGAAGCCAGCACTCAATTTAAAAAGAAGCAAGGAAAAGGTACAATTGACATTTGGTGGCTGTTCGATGATGGAGGTAAGGAATTCGAGTAAGAACTGCAGGGAGAGAGATTTCTGTGTTACCAGACATAAAAACAGACTTGGGAACTTGCACAAAACTGTTTTCTTTTAAGATTACGTAGTCAATTTTCTGTCTGGCTTAAATGTTCTAAGATTAACTTACGTCCAACACTGCCAAAGTGAAGGATGGAATTTTTACCACACAATGCACTAATTTGATCTTCCTGCAATTTTATATGTTCCTCCAGGTCTAACAATCCTAATTCCTTACATTCTAACTATCAGGAAGAAGTGGAAAAATTGCAAATTAAGGATTTTCACTGGAGGAAAAGCCAACAGGATTGAAGAAGAAAAACTAGTGTAAATATAACTATATTTGCCTCATCATTTAAAGACTTTGAATCGATGCTGAATATAATGCATATACAGTGGGAAGCTGGGAATTTCTCAGCACAACTGGTTTGTTGTACTGTGGGCAGCTTGCAAAAAAAAATGGATGTCCTTGATAGAAAGGTGTTGAGCTTATGGCATAGCTCTCAAGGCTCAGTGTAAACGGTGATTACCAAAGGAAACTCACATCCAGCAATTTTTCCCACTAATAGCTCATATTCCCTTC